TTATTATTAATGTTTTTTCAAATATTTTCTTTCAATTCAGTTCAAATCTATATAGGTCCATTTATTTATTAGCTAATATTTAAGTTAAATATTCTTAACAGCTTCCCACTTGAATATTTAACTAGAATCTCTATCTAACCATATTTAACTAGATTATAATTTTTTCACATAATGAACACTATATAAAAAAATCTGATGTGGTCAGCACATAACCGACCACATTGTGTATTGTCTAGTTAAATGAAAGTGTTACAGAATATTATAAAAATGTCTGTTAAATACTTCTTTCCAATTTTTAGGACATTAGTAAGCTTATAATTAACATACTTAGAAAAATGTAAATTTGGCTCTTAGTAGAGTTTCGCTTTGTGCTACCCGAATTCCCTGAAATGCTCGCCAGTTAGTTTCGGTAACAACCAGAACTCAAATATCAAATTTCAAGAAATTCCATCAATTTGTTCTGTGGATATGGTGAAAAATGTAAAATCGGCCCGCAAATCAGTTCTCGAGCCCTGATCTTTCAAAAAAAAGTTATATGTTCATTGCTTTAATATGAGGAATTCATATATTAAATTTCAATGAAATCGGTTGATTATTTTCTCTTTATATATACAAAAGTGTATGTTTGGCCCGTAGTAAACGTCTAGTTGCCGATGCCTGATCTTTCCAAAAAATTTACATGTTCATTGTTTTAATACGGGGAATTCATATATTAAATTTCAATGAAATCGGTTGATTATTTCTCTTTATGTACACAAAAATGTATATTTGGCCCGTAGTAAACGCCCAGTTGCTGATGCCTGATTTCTTCCAAAAGCTAGGAATTTTTGCGTATGATCGAGCAAAGCTTATATATGAAATTTCAAGTAAATCGGTTGGATACTTTCTTCAAAATGGTGAAAAATGTAAAATCGGAACGCAAATCCGTTTTCGAGCCCTGATCTTTCCAAAAAATTTATATGTTCATTGTTTTAATACGGGGAATTCATATATTAAATTTCAATGAAATCGGTTGATTATTTCTCTTTATGTACACAAAAATGTATATTTGGCCCGTAGTAAACGTCTAGTTGCCGATGCCTGATTTCTTCCAAAACATACGAACTTTTGCGAACGGTCGAGCTGAGCTTATATATAAAATTTCAAGTAAATCGGTTGAATATTTTCTTCAAAATGTTCAAAAATGTAAAACAGGCCCGCTAAAAAGTGCAGTTCCCGAGGCCTGATATGTACCAAAAGTTGATCGATCCGTGCCATGGTGGAAACAAACTTACATATAAAATTTCATCAAAATCGGTTCAGCCGAACTTGAGATACACGCGTGCACACACAGACCGACAGACCGACAGACCGACAGGTTGCTAAAAATAGTTTATTTACACTTCCCTACTATGGAGAAGTACGTTCCCACCGAAAACTCGATATGCAAAATTTGTTGCCATCACATAACCTACCTATTGTTTACACAATACGGTCGGTAAAAAGGAAATTATCCAGCGTGTACACGTTTTTTACTGAAGTAATCACTTTTATGGGAAATTATGGGAAAATGTGTATAATATGTTCACAAAAGGAAAAACAAAACTCGACGAAAGTCCAGTCTGTCCATAACTATTTTCGAATGATTAATAATTAAAAGGTTGTATTTGTATGAGAATAAATGCAAATAACTGAAACTTAACTGAATTTATTGTGTCAAAATTATTTATTTCGCTACATCCAAAGAGAAACTATAATTATATTTCCCATAAAAGTGGTATACATTCTTAAATTTCATATCAATATTTAAAAAATCAAAATCAAACAAAATTATAAATTGATATTTAAAATTAAAGGAAAGAAATAATAAAATAAAAAATATCATATTGCAATAAAATTAATTAAAAATTTACAAGAAATAATATAACAATTCAATTATAAGTGAAGTTAAAGAAAAGATGGGTTTAGCGCAGCAAACACACACTTTACAACCAATTAAAATTGCAGACCCATTTTATCTGATTCGAAAATGAAAATTATCTTATCTAAAATTAAATTTTAATATAATAATTTTATTTTAAATCTTAATTTTATCTGTCCGAATAATTTATAACACTAACTGCTTATATAACACTTCTTATACATGTAAATACATATATAAAATTTTTTTGAATACATTTATGTATGTATGTATAAATATTAACTTTTTATGAACTTCTTACGTGTTATAAATGTATATACATATATATATATATATATATATATATATATAAATAAATAAATTTTATACAAATAACAGGATTTACAGTATTTATGTTTCCTAAGAGAATATACGAGAGTATATTTATATTATATATGTAAGTTCATTATAATGTAGAAAATACATTGGATATACAAACATAAATATACTTACACTATATATGTATATTCTATGTACATATGTATGAATGTTACATGTGTACGAAAGTTAAATCTAATCCTTAAATACAAAAAAAAAAAAAAAACAGAAAAATCAAAAGAGCAAAGAAGCAAAATGAAAAGAAAAGAAAAAAATTCACTTATTCCTTTTTATTGCCTAAAAATTGCTTCCAGTGGTTATTCAAAACAACTTTTGGCAACTTTTTAATAATAGATTAGTTTAAGTATATTATAAAAGTAGAAAAATTTTTTTTTTTTTTGGTTCCATATTATATACAACAATAATAATAAGGCAAAAAAAAAATTAAGTTAATTTTTAAAAAATTTTATTAGCTTTCTTTAATTTCTTTATATCAAGGCAATCCAAATAGAATATAGACATACATACATACATATTATAACAAATAATAAATAAATATATGTATGTACAAATATTATGTATGTATGTATAAATAATTTACGGCAAAAAAAAAACTAAATTTTCCCTTTCATATTGAAAATAAATTAAAATTTATCAAAATTTACGTTCCTATTATTTGTAGTTAACATTATTTTAATTTTATTTTCGTGCAATATTGTACTTACATTTGCTTCTCTCCAAAATATACTTACATATACTTAAAATAAATTAAGATCCGAAAATGAATATATCTGCACTCTTACAATGTACTTGCAAACGTACCAACGATTTTATTAATCCTCAATATATACAAAAGCTATATCTCACTTAACATGTATACAAAACTATAGAGCCATATTATATGTATGTATGTATGTTACATATTCATTTATCCTTAATAAGCAGTTTAAAAAAATCACATTTATTTCAAGGTTCCACATTTTTCATTGAACGGAGGTCATGTATCAACATTTATACAAAAAAAAGCTGTGAACTATAGTATAGAAATTTCGGAAAATATTCCAAGAAATCCTTGTATCTCAGAAACCGTTATGAACTTTGACATTTGTGTAGTTACTTCCGAAGAACCGAATTATCAATTTTCGATTTATTAAAAATTTTAAGCAAATTACACTCTTTATTATAATTTCACTCTGTATTATTTAATTTTTATTTAATTAGTCAGTATCGAGCTAAAATATAAAATTTCAAGAAAATTTTTATTAAGATTTTCAAAACACAAATACTTAACTCAAATTTTCAAAGCACAAATACATAACTCAAAATTTACAAATTTGAGAAAAATGGATTTTAAAATGTGAGAGTTAATTATATTCTTCTCATTATAGTGTTAGAAATAATTTTAATGTCACTGTTGTAGCAAATAAACGATTGTACTTCATCGTCGCCCTCTTTTGGGAAATTTATATTAATTTAATTAATATTTCAATGTTTTATTCTTCAGTTATTTAGGTTTATTCGAAAATTAAAGACCCCTTAATCATTGTGGCTAAAAAATACATCGCAAATACACGAATAAAGCGCTGTTACAGTTGCTGATAAAATTTACACAAACTTGTATATACACTTAAAATTCACTTATAATTTATTTGTGTAGACCACACGTTTTTTTTAATTTTCAGAATTAGAAGTTTTTATTTCAAATTAATTATGTTTATAAATCTTTAATGAAAATTGATTTAATTACTCTTGAATTCTATATTGTCGAACAAGAAAATTTTTAAAACACCAGAAATTTGAACTTAGTATATAACTTATGTAGTAAATATTTTTACTATACACATGTACGCATATTTACATACTCAGAATCCACAGATTATAATTTTATTAATCCCTTAAGTGTAAAAAAAAAATCAATTTAAGAAACACATTCTTTAGTTTCTTTTATTTTTTTTTTTCTTTAGTAGGAGTTTTTAATCATAATACCCAATAGAACAATTTAAATTATAAGAATTTGTCATCGTTTTTAATTCAAGCATATTATTTTATTTTTCATATTCATACATTAAGGTACCAACAAAATATCTGTAAATGAAGGCTAAAGTTTTAATGGGGAAAATGAGCCAAAAATATTTTATTAATTATAGGTATGTACATTTTCAGAGAAACTATAAATATTATCAAAACCATTTTATTTTTTAATTATATACATACATTTTTCTAACAATGGCCCACTGACCATCATCATCACTAGAATATTTTCTTTTGTAAATTTTTACCGACATCCCATTATGTTTGCGGCTTTCATATTCTTCCAATATTTCTAGTTCGTCTTTTGTGTTTCTGAAATTGTGTTTAATTCATAAATTCATATAACAAAAAAACAATTCATAAAATTTATAATTACAATAATTCGACATAAAGATGAAAACTCAAAAGGAAAAATTTAACGGAATTCCTTACGATGCAATTTAATGGATTTTAAAGTGCAAAAAGAAATCATTTATTTAGAAATCAAAAGCAGACAATAACCACGTTTTTAATATTTTTTGTATTCACTGTTTGTCGTTCAAAATTCGATTTTAGCTATTTTTAATATTTAATCTTGTTAATATTTTCACCACCAGAGTGGTGTAAATATGTATGTGAATAAATTCTAACGTCAAATAAAATATCGCTTTTCTGAAATTGTCAATAATTTGACATTTATGATTGGAATTGACGTCTCATATGTTTTAGGTGGAGTTGTGAGATTATTTGCTAGATTGCATTCTTAAAAATATCTAATAGCAGAAGTGAATTAAAAGTTTGTTTCATGAAGGAATGTGTTTTTGTTTTTCATGCGAATACAGAAATGCCTTGCTGGTATTATGAAAAAAAGGTAATTTAAGACTAAATATTTCACAAAAGATTCTGTATATCTTATACATTTTCATTGCTCATTTCCATATTAATTTCAAAAGGATCTCAAAGTAACACCATCGATTTTGGATGGTTTATCACCAGAGACTGAACGTCGATATAGGAAAGAAGGTGCAAGATTTATAATGCAATGTGGAACTGCAATGAGTCTTGGTCATAATACCATGGCTACTGGAGTTGTTTACTTTCATCGATTTTATATGTTTCATTCCTTTAAGCAATTTCCAAGATATGTAACTGCATGTTGTTGCCTGTTTTTAGCTGGGAAAGTGGAAGAAACTCCTAAAAAAGCCAGAGATATTATTAGAAATGCTAGAAATCTACTATCAGATGATAAATTTTATTCATTTGGCGATGACCCAAAAGAAGAAGTAATGACTTTAGAAAGGATTTTATTACAAACTATAAAATTTGATTTACAAGTGGAGCATCCTTATGGTTTTCTAGGTAAGGTGTATATTTCACTATATTTCATTGGAATGATAATAAAGAATAGAATTCATTTAAAAAAATACATATTGTAGTCAAGTATGCAAAATGTTTAAAAGGTGATCAATCCAAGCTTCAAAAAATGGTGCAAATGGCATGGAATTTTGTTAATGATTCATTGAGCACAACTGTTTGCCTGCAATGGGAACCAGAAATTATTGCTGTTGCCATGATTCATTTAGCCAGTAAATTAAGTAAATTTACAGTTCTTGATTGGGTAGGACGGCAACCGCAGCATTTAAGGTGGTGGGACATGTTTGTTGCTGACGTTACAATGGAAATACTAGAAGATATCTGCCATCAAGTGTTAGATTTATATCAACAACCTCAAAACCCAGAATGCACAAGTCCGCCGCAGCAACCTCCAAGTAGAATGAGCTCTCCTCCAACAACTTCTAGTAATATTTCTGTCAAAAGCATAAATGAAACGCCATCTTCTTCGACAGCAATCAACAATACTAACAATAACAATAATATAGTACAAAATAATATCAAAAGGCCGACAACTCCACCACCCCCTCATCCCCCAAAATCAGTTCAACCAGCAGTTGCCAGTGTGCCAGTAGCAAATCCAATTCCTGTTTTGAAACCTACTATTCCTCCTAAAAAAGAAGATAAAATCGAAGGAAATCCAATACCGAAACTATTGACATCAGAGCCACCGTTACCACCTCAGCAATCAAGTCATTATTCTTATCAGTCGACCTATGGTCACGTATATCCGACACATACTGCACATTATGGACCAGGAAGTTCTGTTCCACCACCTCCGCAGCCTCCAATTTATGGCAATCAGTATACCGGTACAATGCAAACTCATTTTCCCGGGCCTCCACATAATATTCCACATGCCCCTCAACATCCTCCTCCACCACAACATCAACCTCATCCCCAACACCATCCGCCACCTCATCATCCACCACATCCATCTAGTTATTATCAACCCTATGGAAGATCACATTACCAACAATAACGGCTTAAAAGTAGATTAGAATAAAATTATTTCGCATTGGTTGCAGTTATTTGTATAAACAGATAATAAATTTTTTATAATTATTAAATGTAAACTTAACTGAAGTTGTCAATTTTCGGAACACTCATGTAACTAGTATCTAAGAGACATATCTTAATCAAAAACTAGTCCTTATTCGAATTCAACAGTTTTGATTATGTTTGTACTATTGATGAAACTTCTAAAACAAACCTATCTCTGTTAATGTGAATAAAAATTAGAAAAAAAATTAAAACAAAAAAAAATAATTTTATGATTAATAAAACAATCTGAAATAAACAATTATATTATTTTTAATATAAAGTAAATAGTTGTTATACAATAAATCAGATCAATAAAAAAAGTTTAGTTAGTATTAATAATAATAATAAAATTTAATATTGTAAGCGAGTTTTATACAAATTATTTTATGCTTTTGTTATTGTTATGTAACCGGATCTATAATACTGAGGAATTGTTATATAATCATTAAAATGTTTTGTTGTTCTTTGTTGCGCTTGTCTAATTTTGTTCACTAGCTTTCCTAAAATAAACATCGTAATATTTAAGTTAATCTTCAATTTTCCTCTTTTATTCTAGTCTTTTGATGTCAATACGAACCTAATACATTCATTTCCTTAAATCTTCTGCTTAACTTTTTAATACCGCTAAGATCATTATTAATTTGCCAATAATATAAAATATCATAAGCTTTAACATGGACAATCTCGTTAACTTTTGCATCGTCCTAAAATTTTATTAATTATATTAATTTTGTAAAGTAAAGGTAAGTATTTACTTACAAATTGAAATTCCAATTTTATTTTGTCTTTACTAGCTAAATTTATAGTTTTCATTAATTTTCGATAATTACAATTTTTCTTTGAAGAATAAATTATAAAATCGCATATATTTAGAAAATCAGTTTTTTGTTTGTCCAGATGTTTGAAAATTATAGACTCGTCGTATTCAATATTAAGTTTGGTCTGCAAAAACATATTTTTTTTTTTCTTTAGAAAAATCAAATAAATCATTATAATCTTACCAATGCTTGAATTAAAGTTGTTGCATCATAATTAATTGAAGAAATTTTAATGCTTCCCAAAAACGGCTTTTTAGTAAAATGTAAAATAATACACAAAAGTTAAAAAAAAGATATTTAAGCTTTAAAATACATAATGTAAGTGACAATTTTAATTTAACTTACTTCAACATTAATGTTATCACAAGTTAAAATTTTAGAATTTTCTTCTAATTCGGATAAATGTAGATCAGTGCGATTATTAACTGAGAAGCTAATTAAATCCAAAGCTTCATATTTATTAAATCTTTCTAATGATTGTAAATTTATATTATTGTTGTTAACATGTATTATAGATGATTCACAAAATGTTTTAAGGCTCCTGTTTTGATTTAATTTACATTTATTACAAAGCGTAATAGGTTTAACATCTTTTCCAATAATTTTTGATAAAAATTCTTTTTCTAAACAATCTAAGCAAATATCATCTGCTGTCTCATAATAATCTTTATTATAAGCTTGATTTTTGTCATTTGAAATTATACTATTGCTTATTGTTTTATTTTTTGCTTTTAATTTTTCATTGGCACACAATTCGTATGATCTTTGTGCCTGTAATTGTTTTTTATTCTTATGATTAACATTGCAACTAAAATTACCATTAATTAATTTGTTTTCTACATTTTTCTTGGGTTTAGCTCCTGTACTTTCAAATTTAGCTTCTATATTTGATTCATTTATTTTTTCTTTATTTATTTCTAATTCATCTTGATCATCAAGATCTTCTGTACTGGAATTTTGAACAATTTTTTCAATTTCATTATTTGAACCAGTATTATTATATTTTGAGGAAAATTTTTCAACATTTTTAAGCAGCTGTTCATTCATAAGTAAAATTTCTTTTTCAAATAATTCTTTTTCATCAAAACTTGAAATATTACATATATTTTGGTTTTGTTCAATTTCTGAAGGAGGATCTGGATCAAAATCCATTTCCAAAAAATCAGTTTCATCATCATTTTCATTTATATTTACAATTTGTTCTTCGTCTCTGTCGGCACCAGCTCCGCGATAAGCATATATACAATCAACAGATCCATGTTCATCATCATCTGATAATGTATTTTGAAATATAATTTCGTCTACATGATCATGTGGAGAATATGATAAATTATCTGTTGAGTTTGTTGATATTTCATTTGAGTTACTTGAAGAACGTAATATTGGAGATTCTGATGCATTAACGAGTACAAATTTTTGTGCAGTCTTCGCACTAAATTCATCCCTTGAATTCGAACAATCCTTTATGTGAAAAATAATATTAAATATTAAATTTATTTTTCACAATATATAAGAATATATTTATTACCATTTAATATTTTTTTACTGATTTGAAATAAGAAAATGAAATTCTTTGTTTACATATTTTTATTTTTCTATTTATAATATTTAAGGCTTTTAACAAATGGTCTAAAAATAATGATGTCAAATATAAGTATTTACTGTCATCCCACAAAACAGAAATTCCTCAAATATGAGAGAAGAGTACTGCTTTTTAAATTGCAAAATAACAAGTACATTTTGCAAGTACTTTCTCTTATAGGTCTCTTCACGAGACCGTAATACCGCATTAAGTTTTAACTCACTAATAACATAAATTTCTGAGTTTTTTTTCATCAAGAATTATAGTTCAATTTTTTGACAAACCATTTGAAAATTATCATGTACATTGACATTATCAAAAAATAACTCAGTTATTATTTTATTTTTGTCTCTTGGAAATTCATAGCTTATATGTACTTTGTTTGCGTGTTAGTTCTTCAATTCCTGTTAAGTTTTAAATCAAAACTACATTCATTAAAAGTTTTCATATAAGAAATGAGTTATTTAACAAGTTATTAAAAATTTATTGAAATTGAAAGATACATAAATGAAATAATAAATTTTTGGGAAATTGCTGTAAATTGATTAAACACCATACAAGGTTTTCATACAAACTACAAAATTATTTACACTACACCATCCCTGAAATCAAATAGACTGGTACAATATTCATTTCGAAAATACTGGTATAATATACATTTTCAATCTAAATAATTAGTAATTTTTAATTTTTTATTGAAATATGTACAAAAAGTGTTTAATATAAGAAATGTCATTTTTAAAAATTATTGTTCAAAATTTAAATGAAAAGAATTGTATTTATACAGAACTGCCACCAAATTATTGGGATTTACTAAATGTATTACAATACAATGTAGCAGATCATTTTAGCTTTTCAAAATATTGGTTAGGTACGTACACATGTCCACACAATATCCATAAACATATTGCACGGCTCATATTTTGTAGAATCTTTTCAATTCTATTTTCTGTTTGTAACATTAAAAATTCTCTAACTTTTATATTATCAATTTAGTATTTAGAAGCCAGTTAGTAATTAAAACGTTACGTATTACATCATTTACTAAATATATCTAAAAATATCTTAACTGAACTCGATAAAAATAATCTTATCTAAAAAACATCAGCTGGCAAAATAAACATTCCAATGCATTTAATAGGGTTGGAATGATACTTATCGATAAAGTTTTTTCATATTTAGTCGATTTTCATACGTATTTCAAAAACTATTTCCTCTTTTATTTTTATTAACGTGAAAGAATTAACATTTAACATTAAGCGTTTCCACTCTTTACTCATTTTTATTAAACTACTAATCATTTTTTAATTTTTATTTGAATTTTAGATAGCGAAAATGATAAAATTCCAGTAACTAATGAAGTTTCATACAAAATATTTTTAAGCATTTCCCAACATAAAAAGTTATTCTTAGAGAAAAAAACTGTGGAAGAAAATGGAACGAAAGAGATCACAAATTTAAATGACAATTCTTTAGATGTCAAAGAATCCAAAATAAATTCATACGAAAACGATTATAATCCGTTTTGTAATATTCATTTAGATATTAAATGTGATGGTTGCGGTATTCAACCAATAATTGGTTTTCGTTATCAATGCTTAACATGCGAAAATTATAATTTATGTTTATATTGTGAAAATCAATATATACACAACATTCACAAAATGATGCGTTTACCTAGTAATGCTAAAAAACGGAAATCAAAGAAAACTGCTAACACAGAAACAAATAGCACTGAATAAGTAAAATGTTAAATAAGATTTAAATTAAGATTAATATAAAAATCTATGGTGTCAAATATAGCGGAACATGATTGTATTATATTAAAAGAATTGTATTATTCAAATAATTTTATGATATACATATATATTTAATGTTGTTATTTTTTTTTTAAATTTTGTATTATATTTTTAAGGGAATATGTAACAAGAGAATGTAAAAAGAATGTAAAATGTGTGTTTTTATTGTATATACATATTGCTATGCATGCCCTAAGTTGTTATACACAGCAGAAACGAACATTATTTCAAAGATAAGAATATAAAAAGCCTTTTAAATATACCGTTACAGTTGCATACCAGTATTAGATTCCGGAATACTCTACAAAATAGATCGTCTAATCAAGTTTTTCTCCATAAAAATGGAGATTAATTTTCAATGGATTTAATTTTCAAAATAATTTTTAAAGATATGTAAACACACTATTACAGAAATAAGAATGTATAAAATCGGAGCTTATCGTTTGTGGATTGTAGAACCATTTTATAATTTTTGACAACTTAAAATGTCAGTTTAATATCCGCTTTTATGACATTTCCTTAATAAGTTCTTTTTACTTCAGCGTGTACCGAGGATAAGGTGAGTTTTTAGTAAATTTCAAATTTATATTAATAAAATCATATTATAAAGGTTGTTTACCATTATTTATTTTTAAATTGTTTCACTAAACTAAAATTAGAAAATAAGATTCGTAAATAGAATTATTAAAATCGCGAAATTCTGGTTTGCGTAGAGTTTGAGTAGTGCAAAATACACTGACCGTATTAGTATTTTAATTTTGGTGAGTAAAGGCAGGAGGTTTATTTTCAGATGTAAATGCATGCTGTAAATAAATCTCCTGCACTATAAAGTATCTGATAAGTATTTTTTTTTATATATTTTAGATAAAAATGCCTCAAAATGAATATATGGAACGTCACCGTAAATTATACGGGCGACGTCTTGATTATGAAGAACGAAAAAGGAAAAAGGAAGCGCGTCTACCAAAAGAAAGAGCTCGAAAGGCAAGGAAACTTCGTGGTATAAAGGCAAAACTGTTTAATAAAGAGAGACGCAATGAAAAAATCCAAATGAAGAAAAAGATTAAGGCTCATGAAGAGAAAAAAGTTAAAAAACAAGAGGAACGTGTTGAAGATGGTGCAATACCACATTACCTGTTGGACAGAGGGCAGCAGTCTTCTGCTAAGGTTCTTTCTAATATGATAAAACAAAAACGAAAAGAAAAAGCAGGCAAATGGGATGTACCAATACCAAAAGTCAGAGCTCAATCAGATGCTGAAGTATTTAAGGTTCTAAGTAGTGGTAAAACTAGACGAAAAGCTTGGAAACGTATGGTAACAAAAGTAACATTTGTTGGTGAAAATTTTACGAGAAAACCTCCAAAGTTCGAAAGATTTATAAGACCAATGGCATTGAGATTCAAAAAAGCACATGTAACACATCCAGAATTGAAAGCAACTTTCCATTTACCTATAATTGGCGTTAAGAAAAATCCAAGTTCTCCAATGTACACATCATTAGGCGTAATTACAAAGGGTACAGTAATAGAAGTGAATATTTCAGAATTAGGTTTAGTAACTCAAACTGGTAAAGTTGTTTGGGGTAAATATGCTCAAGTAACAAATAATCCAGAGAATGATGGAGTTATAAATGCTGTGCTTTTAGTGTAAAAAAAAGAAACTTCTAAAATTTAAATGTTCACGTCTTAGGTGTAAGAGATTTTTAAATAAAATTTTTGAAAATTTAAAATTTTGCATTTTTTTAATTTGTCTTCTTATACACGAATTTTTCGATTTAAAAAGTGGTAAACAACTTTTATATTCACATAAATTTAAATAATAAAGAAATTAACCATTTTTTTTGAATTTTTTAGATCTTAGTAATGCAAATTTTCGTTAAAACCCTAACGGGTAAAACAATTACCCTTGAGGTTGAACCCTCTGATACTATTGAAAATGTCAAAGCCAAGATCCAAGACAAAGAAGGAATTCCTCCAGATCAACAAAGATTGATTTTTGCCGGTAAACAATTAGAAGATGGCAGAACTTTGTCTGATTACAATATACAAAAAGAATCCACATTACATTTAGTACTACGTCTTCGTGGTGGTGCTAAAAAACGTAAGAAGAAGAATTATTCTACACCAAAAAAAATTAAACATAAGAGGAAGAAGGTCAAGTTAGCGGTATTGAAATACTACAAGGTACCATATAAATAGATGTACATTCATATATAATACATATAGGAATTCTTGAGTCTTGTTGATCTTGCTGCTAATGATAAAATGACAAGAGAATTCAAATGTAAGAGATGAAATTTTAAATTTTTTTTCTTTTGTTTTTTTTATTTAAAGGTTGATGAAAACGGAAAAATTCATCGTCTTCGTCGTGAATGTCCTGGTGAAGATTGTGGTGCTGGCGTTTTCATGGCTGCACATGAAAATAGGCATTACTGTGGCAAATGTGCTTTAACATTTGTGTTTTCAAAACCTGAAGATAAGTAGGTTTATAAGAGAAATATTACAAAGTATAACTTGAAGTGAATGTGAAAATATAAAAAAACACTAAACACAGAATTAATATGTTTTTTTTTATTTTAAATTTTAGTATGGACTTAGTATTTATGAATCTATACAAAAATGTCATGAATACTAAATAAATAAATCTAGTTAGGCCAACTTATACTAATATTAATAGAAGTATACCTACACTTATATTAATAGAAAGTTAGATGTGGCCTAGAAATGGTACTTGGTTTTAGCTTGCAGTAAAATAAGCTAATATAGGTATCATCGTATCATCTTATGTATGTACATACATGCATAACACACGAAATTGAGTTTATTTCAAGGGATCCGCATATGTGCCCCTATACCCTCCGCTGAACCTTATTATGGGAAAAAAATTTTCTTAAAATTCCGACAAAGTTTCAAAAAAAAGATTTAAATCCCAATGTATGTATATAGATACATATAGAACATAGATTTTATCAATTTAGACCTTATTTTATAATATATGTATATGTAGGGAAGGAAATATAAGAACAACGCTGGTATTTGATCCTGCTATTAGTAAGGGTACTCTTAAATCTAAACTTTGGTCTAATTTAGTTTTGTAGTATTTTTTTCGTTTCTTCTTATTCTTGTCTTTCTCTCTAGTCTTTACTTATCTATATTATCTGTATTATCTATTTATTGCATGGTGGTTGGTTTTTTTTTCCTTTTATTGTTAATGGCTATGGTTTTTTGTATTATTATTATTAAGTTGTGCTCATCATTTATTTTACTTGCCCTTTTGCTATTCCCTCTTTTTTTCCCTACATATTCCCCTTTTTTCCCTCCCTTTTCTGTAAATGATGACGTTGTTGCTTGATAACAGATAATTGCGACTAAATTATGTTTTTATTTGCACCTGTTGGCGATATGCTTAATGCTTGATCTAAGCAATAGATGTCTGATATAAAATGTATTATGATATGTGTCTAAGAATTTTGAAGTTGGCCTATCACTGAAAAATACAAAGATTGTTCATTGAAGGCACATGTCAAAAGTGATAATATGCCTTAAAAAACTTAAAAATTTGTAATGTCATTTAATTGTCATTTGACATCTATCATATTGTTGACTTGTGTAGTATTTTTGTGGAAAATACACGATTAATTTATCATTTGAAATTTATTTTTGGTAAATTTTCCAACAGCTTCAATAGGTTTGTTAATTTTATAAATTAAATAATTCTGAAGTATGATATTTGATGTTTAATTAAATAAATAATTAAATGCCTTTACTTGGATTATTGAAATTAAAATTTATAAATTGCGTAACGTCATAATGTTGACTATTAAATATTTGGAATTTTCTTATTATTAAAATTTTGAAGGTGTTTAAAGTTCAAAATAAACTTCACTATTAACAAGAAATTTTAAAATTGAATTTTTATTCCTCAATAAAATTTGTAATTTCTGAAAATCTCAAGAGGATTAACCACGGTATTGGTTAAATGCACACAATTTTTAAAATTCAATTTTATAGAACACCTAATTTAAAACTACCTTATTTTTAAAATTGAAATTCTCTTATTTAGCTTTATAATACAATGGCTTCAAGTCCATTTCTAAAAACTCCACTTACCGATTTAACTGGTTGTGTTATTAATCATCAACATTATGATAAATGTGGAGAATTTGAAATGAATATGATGGATTGTTTAGAGGCATACGGTCTTGATAGAGGAAAGAAAAAATGTGCTGATTTAATTGCCGATTTTCAAGAATGCGCAGGAATGAGAAAACAAATGTTGCGGTATAATGTAAGCATTTCTGCTACTTATATTGATTAAATTGCTTTTTATTTATTACTTCTTCTTTTAATTGAAGGCAATGCGATTGGAAAGACATCGTCAGTATCTAACTGGTGAAGTGCCTAAAAGTAAACACTATGCCGAACCACCAAGAACAGATGCTTATTAAATAGAAAATTTCAACTTTAAATTTAATTTGATTAACTTAGTACGAAATCTTATTTGAACTAAAAAAATATATTAGATATATCATGGTTCACAATGTTTTTTTCGAATATATACCGGTATGGTAAGGGGTAATCAGCTGGTTGCTTATTTTCTTTCAAAGAGTTTTTGATATAATATATACCCATGGGTTCAGAAGTCTCATAAACCTTTTTTGTCATAAAAAATTAATATGTATCATATTTCGATAGGGTCTATCATTAGGAAAAATATATTGCAATTTTAATGGAAAAAAAAGAATTGAAATATATTGAAGACATCATAATCAAAAAAAAAAACTTTAATGGCGAATACTCCTTAAAACTAACCAAGGAGACTATATACTAGTAATTGATATTAATATTAAATAATCTAAAAAATTTCTGTTAGGAAAATAGTTTTGAATTTTATAAAACTCTTTGTAATCTACTCTGTGTTTCTCTCAAAATTTGTTGTAAATTTTCAGTTCCCGGTTTTTGATAGCATATATTCAAACATGCCGAAATTAGATCTTGTACTTTAACAGCAACTCTTCTCCTAAAAACAATAGTTAAATAATTATTAATTTAACAATATTTTAATAATAGATTGAAATTACCTATTCCGGCTAGGGATTTGATTAGAATTTGACGCTATAGAAGCCGCTAATCTTGCGGTAGATTTTAACAAATGCGTTTCATTTCCTTCATTAGCCCAAACTCGTTCATTCATTGATAGCATTCTGAAAAAAGATAAAAACATTTTGAATTTTTTTTACTTCATATTATTGGACGTAATTATATTTACTTTTTATGCAAACAACTTACCTTGCGTAGTAATCAATAAGTAATTCTAAGTCTAAATTCATTGCAATAAGAGCTTCGGGAACTGTGCCCTCGTCTAGTCTTAACCGACAACATTTGATTTCTAATTCTCTAATTATAAATGCTAATGGAAAACAGTGCCCTGATTCTCCAAATTCTTTTGCTAATAAATGAACTTTTGAAAATAAGCGAGTTCCTTTTTCTCGTGCTGAAAGTTCTGGTGCATCAACGGCTTTATTTAAAATATTGGACCATACCGATTCTATTAAAAGAGGCTCGTTATGATGAGAGCAATTTAATATTGTTAATTTACATTCCCAAAGTTCAAATGGCTCAGCAAAATCTGAATATAATTGTGACATGTCATATAAGCAATAATTTAACTTATCCGCAGCTTCTTTCGCTTCATGACTATCCAAACCATCAATTGCATCTAATATAACTTTTTGAACTCGGGCAATCTCTAATTTATCTTCCAGATCTTTTAATAGAACTCCATTATGCATTGAGCATCCGACACTGTCATTTCTCATACACATAACGGCTCTCGCTAAATATTCTATTCTTTGGCTAAGAGGAATTGAGTTTGTTTGCATTGAAGCCAAATTGTCCAATATACTTGCTGCGGCAGAATGTTGTCCATTTTTCTCATAATATTTCCATAACAAATCTGTTAACTTCAAATTATTTGGATTTCGTTTAACAGAACGTCCAAGGAACTCGCCTAGACTTGGCTCACCGAATGCCAATAGTTCTGAAATTAAATCATGTGCAAGTAACCATTCATAAACTACAACATGAAGCAATGGGTCAGATGTTTGGGTGGCTAGCGAAACTATTTTCATTATCTCCATGGTCGAATCTTTGTTGAAATTAATATTTGTAATTGTTTGCTGTAAATCGTTGTTAACGTTATTGTTACAAGCATTTTGATACACAATATCCAGCATCTGTTTTATTTCTTTATAGTAGTTCATACGAGCTGCATATGCTGAATATCCTTCACGATCTTCTACTGGTTCATTATTCCTATAATAATGTAGAGCGAATTCTTCTGGATCAATTTTTGCTGCACAAGTTGCGCATAATTCTACAACACCCTCATGAAATTTAGCTAAGATAAACTGCTGACATATATTGGATAGTGGTAAATTGGGGGCAGCATCTTTACATAATTGAAGAGCTGTCCTTAATCGCTCGTCTTTTTCTTCCATTCGCGGGCAGTTCTTTGAAGTCATTAAAATTTCAGTAGCTTTAAACGAAACTGCATCTTCTTGCCGGTATAGATTAGGGCAAACCTCTCTCAACTTACTCGATATTGATGTAACACTTGCATTGTCAGTTAAATAAGAATTGATTAATGTTACAATTAGAAAAGCGCACATATCAGTTCGAGTAAGTATTAAGTCGCGGAAACTACATGAGGATAATGATATTTGTTGCTCTTTTGTTAATTGGCTAACCAATGCCTGGAATTGATGTTCGCATAAAATTTTCCACAAAGACAAAACTTCGCAAGCGTGTCCTAAATTTAAACAAGAGAAATTAATTAGAGAAAATTCAGTTAAAGGACAGTGCTTATTAAAAATTACTTATGAAATAATTAAGAGCCAATAATGATTTCTTCTCTTCATTTTGGGCTTGTTCTGCAGAATTTCTTTGATCAATTGGATTAGAGTTTGGCATATTAAACTGTCCAAAACTATTGGCAACGGAATTTTGATTGAAATTTCTTAACACTCCTTTTTTAGAAAAAAAAAATTATTTTATCGTATGTTCAACACACTAAAGAGGCTCCACATACCTGATATTTCATGCACAGAATTTTCAATAAGAAACCGGTTAATTGCCAAAAGATCATCCAATATAATTGAACAATCTGATTGAGAAATTGTACTACACAATTGTTGGTCAATGCTTCTTTTCTTCCATATTGGTCGCAATACCCTTGAAACATATAAGTATAAGCCATCATGTTTTGCAGAAAAAACAACGTTAGAAAAGTCCATTCCCGTTTGATGAGGTGAGAATGTTACTTGATTTGTGACAACTATGAAGTACAAAATGAAAGAAACATAGAAGTTATAAGCAATACGGAAATAAAAAATTATATTTACTTGGACTAGGTGGGTATTGTGTTTGTGATAACATTTGAAATGGACTACCCATGGGACTATGACGATTTTGCATTGGAGTTGACATAATCATTGGCGTCGTACTTCGATTATCTATTGTAGTCGAATTTGGTTGCATATATCCCATTAGATTTCTAGCTGGATTCATGGCAGGATTGATCTGGTAGCTTGGTTCACCACCATATAACATAAAAGCTTGCGCCGCCCATAAAGCAATATCGGTTCCACGAAATTCATCACAGCAAGCAAGAACCAAACTTGTAGCACAAGCTTCCCGTTCTGACTGTGCTTGAAAAAATGCTTTAACTGCTTCATGATGTGGTCCGTGACATGCTACAAGTAATTGTTGCAATATATCAGCGGGTTTAAGTAATGCCACTATATGTGCTCCTTGATTCGTTAACAAAGCAACTTTTTTGGGTTTTTGGGCATTTCTCTGCATGGAATTCAATGTAGTTTTTCTTTTATCTTTTATTTCTGCTAGACTCCATACAATTCCATCTAGGTTTAAAACTGTAGTTGATTCGGCTAAAAATGGTCGATTAAGAAATGGTGCAGAGCTAATAGACCATAAGATATCTTGATCCTGCTGAGGAGTGCTAATAAGCAGCAATGTTCCTTTAACATCAAAAAAAAAACATTAAGATTTGTAAAATGAAATTATACTTTAAGCATATTAAATATTTACCTTCACTATAAAATGCTGAGTGAACATTTTTTGGTTTATTTAATGTGGTGTTTGGTGTAAAACCTGGTGGTAGTCTTACATGCATTAAATACAAGTTATTAGGTTTGTTGATGTCAGAAGATGCTGGGCCCGGTTGCTGTTGCAAATTTATATTGAAATTTATTGTGCTGAAAAATAATCTAACTCCCGATTGGGTTATGGCCAGTAAATGCAAACCGGGGCAATCATCGCTTGTCAAGGGACACAAGAATTTAATGGGTTTGAATATTGAAATATCAACTGTTTTTATTACATTGCAAGCGCAATGTGCGATTTCGTTTTGTGTTAATCTTGCGATTCGTTGCATTTCATTACAACTTTCTCCCATATTCCAAGCTTCAACAGCTCCTTTTTCCGTCAAAGTATAAAGTAATTTTCTACTGTTATCAATAACAATTTGAATTATCGCATCGATTTCCTGTAACAATTTAAGCTAAAAATAAAACCAACATGCATTGTTTTTATATTGAATTACCGAGAAAACTTTTAAAAAACTAGGAACCATGTATGACAATATGCCTTGTGAATGATTCACTTTTTTACAACGTTTTCCAAACCAACTGGATTCAGCATGATAATCGATTTCGTAAAGACATCCATCTCTTCCTCCTAAAAATATACGGCCACACTCACTACCTTTAATTGTAGCTATTGCAACATTATCAGTGCTTAGCAAAAATATTGGTTTGCTCATCAACTGCATTTCTTCATAAATTGCAGTACTTTGAACATTTCTAGCTGGTGAAGAGATTGTTTTCGTGGTGTCTCCGAAAGTAACACCTATAAATTAAAAATGCCCGAATTATTTTAAGTTTAATTTAGAAGGTAATGCACTGCTCTACCTAACACAACGATATCTGTTGGGGTTGTTAAAACAAGTAAATATTTAACATCTTTTATAAAAACTCCAAGTTTTGGTTTTATTAATCCTACACTAACAATCAAATGATTTAGACCATCGTAATAAGCAACATCTCTGGCTTGCTCATAAGTCCAAATCTAAAAACAAAAATCAATTAAAAATATAATAATGCACACTTTTTTGAAATGAAAGCCAAATTACAAATATTTCAGAATCTATAGTCAACCATGCTCTTCCTATTTCTGGAAATAGTCCCATCATACAATGACACTTGATATCTAAAACAGAAACACGATTTTTATTAGATTTTTTGATATATCTGAAGATATTAATTTATTACGTTTAAAATGCTCTAGAACTTCTGAAGGGATTGGAACTTTACTAACTGTACTTATTTGACTCAATTGCTTATGTCCCAATGTTAAGCTTGACAAATTTTGATAATCATAATCATTTAATCCACTAGCAGTAGCTATTCCATGCTGACTTATACCGGTTACCTTGAAATTATAAAAATTTGTGTCATACGAATTTTAATATATTTAAATTTTTTACTTCTAATAAACCAGGTAACGTTGAATCTCGACAATCTTGTCTTTCTAACATATTACCGGCAAGATCTAAATATTCTGCTTGGCCAAACGGATTGTTCATTACATTCATTTTTTAACGCCAAGTTTCTTTATTTATGTGCTCAAAAAAGATTTTAATAAATTAAAAAATTTAAAGTTTAATTATTTATTTTTTTAAATTCAACAACACTTTTAATTAATCAGTTAAATATTTATTTAAAACTTAACCACTTCACTTAATTTTTAAAAAGGTATATAATTTATCACACACATACATGTGTGTATGTACAATTTATCTATAATTATAATTTTGGTTCCCGGCTAGAACGTCATTATGATTGTCAAATTTTGACTTTGGCGGTAATATTGTGTATCAATCAGTAGTACAAAGAAATTTTGTGTCACAGAAAATAAGGTAGCACATTGTGAAATATTGCCGAATCGCGTGTGTAGTAATAGTAGAATTATGCGACTTGGAAATATATTTGAATATGACAATTCCTCGCCATTCCGTTCATCACAAAAATACAAAATACTTCTTACTACTTTTTTAAATTATAATAAAATTACAAAAATTTTTGGAGGGCAAAATTATTTTTGGAAATGAAGAATTCTAGTATTCCCTCAACATGGGAAATCAACTGGGTAGAATATATTGTTTTGTACTGTTAATTTGTGCTTCATACGCGGATATCATTATTGCACAGGTTTCACGGTGAACTGAGGTATTTTAATGTGAAATTGACATTTTTGAGTGCAGTTTTTTTTCTCTCTCTCAAAAAGATAACCAAATTCAACTTTAGTGTGAACTTGCGGTGGTTTTTTTAAATGTCAATTAATTACTTTATATACTGTGTTACTACAGTTACATACTCTTCATGTCAAAAAAGTGCCAAATAAAGCATAATAAAAAAGTTCCGCTCATTTTAAAAGCGACGAATAAAAGAATTTACAGACGCAATGCTTCGTGCAGCTACTTGCTTCACACACATACAGTTTTGGAATGACTGGAAAATGTCAAAATGAACATGTGTTGTCAAATGTAAAAAACTCCATTTTTAATTTTTTGAAGCTACTGCTACAATCAAGGAGCTAAAGTGGATTAAAATTAAGAAATACTTTTACTATATTTTTGATTTGCAAATTAAATGTTGAACAATAATAATTTTATTACATTTAAGTCTGAAGAAACTATAAAGTTAACGTTTATTTGTTAATTTCGGTAAGTGAAATATTGTGAAATATATAGTTTCTTTTTTTCAGATACATAATGTAGTAAGAGATAATAAATTATGAATTATGATAACTAATGAATTTTTAAAGATATTTTTTGAATCAATGTGATGGATCCAAAATTGGTGGCTAAGGCATTAAGTTTTCACGGGCAACCTTTGCAAAAAATTTGGGAAGGAGAGAGGGGTAGCGATGAGCTTCCTCAATTAGGACTCTCTAAACCGGATTATTCGGTTTATATAAATCGGCAAAGAAATTTAACTTTTCAGGATCGCGCAAAACGCTTAAAATTACATCAGTTTCTTGCACGTAAAGCGTCGGTTCTTTTTAGTGAAAATTTAACAGAAATTAATAGTTCAGTTAGTACATCTCGACGAAAGGACAAAAATTTTAATGGTAAAATATAGTGATTTACATTGTAAGAAATAATGCATTGAAATACTAAAATTGAAGACAAGTTTGCAAAAATTTGATTAATCGTATACATTTTTTCTATAAAAATTTTCTCAAAAGAGTATCTCATTGAAAAAGAATCAAAACCATTCCGACATATGAATATGCTTACAGTGAACGTGAAAGTATTCGCTTTAAGAGTAAGGGATCATGCCTGTTTTTTGAAGTAAATTATGTATTACAGAAAATATAATCAAATTTTTAACAATTTAATTTCTTCAAATTAAAAAATTTTTATGCATTATTTCAATTTGGAAATTACAAAATATTTGTATATGTTTTGCTCTAATGTTTTAAATAAAATTGAATTTAATTGTTAATTGATACATAAAATATAGGTGGACTTGCAGTTCTTCCACCTTTTGAAAGTTTTCTTCATAAAAGTTACGATAAAACTGAACACCTTCAACATGTTCTTGGCAATGTAAAACCAGGTGATATTGTTTACGGACAAGTTATACATTCAAGCCGATCATCTGCTACCGTAAGGGTAATTTGTACAGGTGAACCATTAATTCGTTATTTAGTCGATGCACCAATAAAGGTTGTTTGTTATTAAATGTATAATTCTTTAAATGAAAGATATTTTTTTAGGCTTATCTCTTAGCCCAAAATATGATACCGTTTTATGATAAAAAAGGAGCAGTTAAACAACTATCCACAAATGATTTTGTTTGTTGTGAAGTTCTAGATATATCAATTGATGCAGATCGCATGAATCTCGGCATGAAAGGATCATTAACAATAGACGCGAATGCTCCTCTTGGTATTATTTCAGCTGACCAATTACCAGAATATTATAAGTAAATTTTCTTAATAATGAATGCTTAATAAATAATATTTTAAAATAATTATATATTAAAGACGATCAATAGATAACGTTGATAGCTCATTTGGAGAATTATTGGAAGAATCTAAAGCTTTTCTTAATCCTAGTTATGATGAAATCTTATTTTCTGAGCTTGGATTGGAAACTGAAGAAAATTTTACTCATATGACATACTTTAAATCTCGTTTTCCTCAACAAGAGTATGCTACTGAACTAAGGCAGGCTCAAGCTAGTAAATGGGCATTTAGGTAAAAAAAGTTGTTATTTATATTAACTGATTTTTACCTATTTGTATATTTCATGATCTATTTTGTAATTTTAGATCAGTAGCTGAGGGAATAGAACATTTTAAGGTTGGACGACATACAGAAGCTTTTCAGTGTTTAAATAAGGCCTTAAATATTGATCCTAAAAACGTTGAAGGTCTTGTAGCTAGAGGAGCTTTATACGCAAATAGTGGATCGTTTAATAAAGCTGTTGAGGATTTTGAAACCGCTTTAAAATTATATCCGTATCACGCAAATGCTAGAAAATATATGGGTGAAACTCTTGTAGCTCTTGGAAGAAGCTATGAGGATGAAAATCAGCTTGATAAAGCCCGTAAAGTATATAGCGATTGTCTAAAAATTATACCAAATCATGAAGAAGCCAAAAGTTCATTGGAATTTTTGAATACTAAACTTGCATCAACCTCTGGTGATTTCATAATGTCAGGTGAGCTGAAATTACAATGTGCAAAAATTTCATCTGTTTATTTTAAAATGTTTTCACTTTTTTATATGTATATATAAAGTATTTTACTTAAAGAACACGATTTTTATTTTATTCTGTCTTTCTCTAAAAATTTTTTGTTTTGCCTTACTATTTATTGTACTATTGATTTTTTGTTTAAATTCAAATTTGTAAACTTTTTTTTATTTTATAAGTATGTATAAGCTAAATTTTAGTATTGCGCTCGCTGTATTAAGTAGAATTGATTGCAGTTATTTATGGAAGGGAATTACAATTAATGTATATCTTTATTATTGACCTCGAATTTTGGGTTTGTTATTGTTAAATAGATTTTGTTTGACAATTATGATTCTTGTTTATAAAAAATGCAAAATTGTTTGCTATAAAATTAACATTTAAGAGAACGTATTAGTAATATTTCTTGTAATATCTGCAAAACTATTAATCAAATACGTTACATTTGCATACTGTTTTTAAAAACTTTTCTGTACTTATATATTATAATATTTTGCAATTGTCGATTATATTTTGTATGAAAACCCGAAATATTTGTTACAGTTGATACGAAAATGTTGACCCCAGATTTGAAATTAGATGCAAAAAAAGACAAAAAAGTTAAAAAGAAAAAACAAAAGGAGAAAAGCAAGAAACATGGAACTTCAACAAGTGGTTCAGAAGATAGTGATTCTAGTTCAGCATCTTCCTCTAATGAGTCTTCAAGTAAATCATCAGGTAATTTCTTTTAATTGATCATCGTTATCTTTTTTAGTTCTTCTGATGACATCATAAATTGACTGAAGCATTTGTTTAAAAATTTGATTTTCAACATTTTTAAAAAATTTTTAGGATTTTTTTGACAGCATTAAATAAGAAAGGAAATCAATAGAATTACTATTTTGTAAAAGAGGCTATAAAATATATATATAAAAAATTCCAGGAGAATGGAATAAAATTAAATATAAATGATAGAAATTATGATAAATGATTTAAAATGATATAGAATGTGCAATAACAGTTTTTGATTTATGTTTTTAAAGATTTATCTTCTTTTTGTGAGTCTTTAAAATGTTTTTCGAATAAATTATCTTACTTTTTTCTCATCCAAACATTTTTAGCATCTTCAAAAGCAAAAAAGAAAAGAAAAACTAAAAATGAAAAAGGTGGAAGACAAAAATCGTTATCACCATTAAGTAAGCGAATGGCTAAGATGGATGAAGATCACCCTCCAACTGGTACGACAAGATATCAATTCAACAAGCCATTTCATTTATTAAATGCGGAAGCAGCAGAAAAAGAATTAGATTATAATGCAAAGGTATATTGAATAAAAAAAAAATTAAAAATTAAAAAAAAAATCCTTCTTAACAATTAAATATACAACACCTATTTATTTTTGAATTTCAGGTTCGTAATTTCTTAGAAATGACTCAAGATGATGAAGATTATGAGGCGAGTGTCAGAAAATTGCTAGCAGACGCTTCAGCTCATAAGGGTTTGAATAAACAAAGCGACGGAAACTTTGAAAAGAAAAAGGAAAAGAAGAAAAAGGAGAAAAAACCCAAAAAGGAAAAGAAAAAGAAGAAAGATAAAAATATTAAAATTGACGGCATTGACAATATGGATTTAAAAGAAGCTTTAAAGTGAGTTTAGGATTAGATAAGCGTGTTAAAATTAGAATTTTTAAAAATTTTGTTTCAGAATAATAAAATCATTACCTTCGTTTGATGTTGAAGCCAAATTAGCAAGTGATTTGCAAAAGTATGAGAAAACTATTGAGCAAATTCAAAAACGTGGAATACAATCATTTAATGAAAATAGTTCCCAACCATCTTTTATGTCCATGCCAGGAACATCTTCCAGTTTCAGTATGAAAATCGATGAAAGGGCAAAACAGCCTGCTGTTTCTGCTTTTTCGCAGGGTCATAAAAGTCCATCGCCACCTAAAGAAATTCCAAAAGTCTCAGCACCGCCTCCAGCACCAATAATACAACCTATTCCTGTGCCTAAACCGGAAATAAAACCTTTCGCAATTCGACCACCTATTGTTTTAGACAAATTTGGTTGCTTTAGGTTAGCGGAACCTATAGAAAATTTCAATTTAAATCAACCTAAAAAATCTCGTTCGCGATCACGTTCTCGTTCACGTTCGCGTTCCAATGGCAGGTATAGAAGATATAGATCAGGATCAAGATCTCGTTCAAGATCTCGGGGACGGTATCGTGAATATCGTCGTTCAAGATCGCGATCTCCAAGACGTTGGTCACCGGGTAGACGTCGTTCACCAGTTCGACGTTATTCACCCATACGTTCACCCCGGTTTAGAAGACGATCTCCCTCTGTTTCACCCAGGAGGCGATCGGTTGAAAGATTAAGAAGTAGTCCAATGGCGCGTAGAAGTCGTTCACGTTCTGAATCGCCATGGGGTGGTCCTCGTGGAAGTAACTATAGAGGCGGTTATAGAGGAAGATATGTTAGAAGTCGCCGACCTTTTGGAGGGTATAGGGGCAGAGCGCCATTTAGAGGTGGGCCGCGATCACCTCGTTTTGGTCGGTATAGTCGTAGTCGTAGTCGAACACGTTCTCGTAGTAGAAGTATTGAGAGAAATCGTCGCAGCTCCCCTAAAAGACGTTCGCGCAGCAAAGATAATAAGAGAACTGAAGATCGCTGGGCTCATGATAAATATGATGAAAATGAAACTGAAAATAATAAAGAAAAGAACAATGTAAACGAAGAAAAGCCAAATACAAATGCTAGCGAAGAAAAACGTAATACAAATCCAAATGAGGAATCAGTAGAAGAAATAGAGAAGGCAATAAGTGAAGCACAAAAAAATCGAAAAGAGGAAATAATTCAACGGGATAAAGATTTATTAAAAAAATCAGCTTAAAGATGGAATTAATAAAAAGAAAAGGAAAATTAAATTGCTATTATAATAAATTGTGGTTATAGATTTACGAATTTTATTATAAGACTCAATATTTTGTCAAGCAAAAAAAAAAAAAAAATAATTATACATTTAAATAAAGGAAATGTAACATACATCACATTTCAATTTTGTTTTAGGGAATTTTTAAAAAATTAATATTATAATTTTAGTGTGTTCCATTTCAAGAAACTTGCTGATACAAAAAATCTCAAAGAAAAAATTTAAGATAACGAAACTTAGCCTTTAAAGGATCACTACAAAAGTAATAAAAAATAAATAAATAATACAACATGTATTTTGCACTATTGAAATAAAATTTATTGATAATCTTAAAATAGTTTTTGTTTGTTTGAATGAATTAAAGGAAAAGGATTGGATTATCAAATGAAACCATCCAAATGAAACCAACCATCAAATGAAAATTGAGAAAAATTTAATCACTTACATGTAACATTTTGCTATTTATATTGCAGTTTTTCCTAGAATCTACTGTTTCCAAAAATATATTTTCGTTCTAAGTTAAAATTGTACAGATTCAACAGGTTCGTGATTGAATTTTTAATAAATGAATCAAAACAGAAAATAAAGTTTAATAATATTTAATGTTAAAAAAAAGCTTTAAGGAAATTCTCTTTGAGAATGCGCAATTCTAAATAATAGTTTTTTTTTTGATTTGTCCAAGGATAATTGTAAAAATATTTTGAAATATATGAAATCAGTCTTTGAAAAGACGTCGCTTAGATTAGAGGCAACCTACTAAACAGTAGGTTGTATACGTATTATGCCGAACGGACGTTTTACTATTTTTTCGAGCGGAGTTTTTTCTTTTTATTTAAATTAAGCACGTGGTAATAATCGTTGAAATTCTAAAAGAATATACTCATTTATACTAATAGAGTTACGTTACGTGTATGTAAATGCGTGCACGGGGTTTCATTTTTTTTGAATTTGTGTGCCTTTTAATGATTTGAAAATAAGAAAAAAAATTAATATGTTAATTAATAATGTTTGCATTATATTAATATATTTTAAATATGCATATATTTTAATATTAGGAGAATTAATATCAAATATTAAATAAATAATAAACATAATATTTTCCAATTTAAATTATTTATATGTATGTACATATTATAATTGGAGATATTCTTCATGTTGAAAGCCTTATCTTACCGGTATGATGTTAAACTAGGAATGTTTGTACATGATTATATATTATATTATGTACAATTACACATATATGTGTGTATAAAGTGCACATTATCTTAAGTATAGTTAGCCCAACAGGTAATTTTAATAATTTATATTGGAAAATATAAAATTTGTTTTAAAATAGAATTTATTAGTTATATGTGATAATTTCATAAAGAAATTTAATGGGTTCTTTCGAAAAAAATTAATATTTATTAATTAAAATTTAAAATATGTATATTAATTAAAGTTCTTTAATTGCATTTGAAATTTAATTGAAAGAAAATAAATTTGAAATTAATAAATTTAAATATTTTTGTTTTTAAAATTTAATTATTTTGTTTAATTACCTTTAATTGGAATATTATTATGAGCTTAAATATGTTCTACTAATTTGAAATATTGTATGCGGTTATATAATAATATAAAAATAAAATAAATTATTAAAAGTAAAAGTTGCAATTCATTGAAATTTTTAAAATACGAAAATTTAATTGTAATGTACAAATTTTCCAATATATTTGGATATGTTTTTTTATATTATCTCCTCTTGGATTACTTATTTATTTGGATTTATTTCATCGCAATTCTAAGGAACAAGTTAGAGGTCAAAAATGTGGATTACCTTATTTATAAAACCTCTTTTTCCCGGAAACATTTTCATTAAATGAATTAAATATGATTTTTTCTTTAAATTCCCAAGGTAAGTTTTATTAAGATTCTAATTATTGTATTATAATTTTTTGTAAACTATTATTATTAAGTATATTAAAAACACAAAAAATGAAATTATTTGAAGAGTTCATAAAATATTTAAAATCTGAAATAATTTTACAATACGAAATTATTATTATAAAATTAAATTAGGCTACATTTTTATAAATAATATGTGAACTGTTTTGAAAAAAATATTAATTAAATTATAAAAAAATGTGAGAAAATAAAAATTAAATTTATTTAATAGTTAATTATATTATTGAACTTATCTATTGTTTTCCTAAAAATTTCGATATTTATGCAATAGTTTTTCTAAATTTAATTCTACTGTACTAATCAAGTAAGGTGTATTAATTATTATTAGTCAAAATAAATTATGTATTACTCGTATTATATAATTATTATACGAGTATTAGCTAAAATAAATTAGTTTATTATTAAATAAAGTAAGTACAATATACACGTACTATATAATTATTAGGTAAAGAATGTGTTAGTTTTGCTCAGATAACTAAATATAAGTATATGATGAAATTCGCTTTAAAATTAAGTAATTAATATTGTAACTTAATAAAATCTAATTTAATTTTATAATAAATTTTAAGCTCGCGAATAATACAAGTTATATTTATAAAAATTATAAAATTAATTAAAAATTTTTAAGTATTACGAAACAAAACTAAAACTTGTTCAAAAATATAAAGTAAACTACAAAAATTTAATAATATTTCATATAGAACATATTTTAATACTTAATGTCAAAATAATGTGGTGTTCCACAATCCACGTTTTCGAAATCATCATATCAAAGTCTTCTGTTAATTTTTTCTTTAAAGTTTTTAGTGAATTTTGTTTTTGATATTTTACCATCCTATTATTGTAAATTAAATTAAAAAAGATGGATCCAGTTGTTTTAATAATAAACCACAAAATAAATTTTTGAATTAGTCAAATTTAAATTTGTTTATATGACACTTCGTCACTTGTCTTTTAACGGCAATAGATAGTGCCATCTTTATTTTTATTTTATTTTATTTTTAAATTATCGATATAAATGTTAATTATTTAGTCTAAAAATTTTTATATGAAAAATAAGGAAATTAAATAAATAAAAAATAATAAAAATAATAAATAAATCGGAAACAGAATTAAAACGAGAAAATTAGAAGATTACACGGTAAAGTAGAAAATTAGGAGGTGTTTGCACGAGAGAGCAAATATATTTCATCTTTTGTGGCCACGCAGATAGTTCGGCCTAGGGCAATTACCCCTCATGTTCCCCCCCCCCCCCCCCCCCCCCCTCCTTTCTTGATAAAGTCTGTATGTACACACTACACGGGACATACACACACAAAATTATTTAAGTTTAAAAAAAATTTTTATTTTTTATTTTTTTTTTTAAATTTTCATACAATGTTATCAATTAATAATTATGGAAAATATTTAACTGTTGAATACATACAATTTATTTATTATACAATAAACAATAATTTTCTATTTTAACATTTTAAATAAAAGAAAAAACACGAAATAAAAAAAAAAATAAATAAAAATAACAATAAAAGAAAAAATAACATCCTTTTTTGTTTTTTTTTTTTTGCTTTTTATTTTGTTTTTTTATTTTGCTCTAAACTATAGATAAAAAATTTGTATTTTAATATAAAATGTGGGTATTTATGTTTGTATATATATATATATATAAATGTATGTGGATACAAGGTTATAATAACCCATTCATAAGGATATAATAATCAGGACATCATTTTCACATAATATTCGCTTTATTCTTACATACATACAAAACAAAAAAACAAGAAACAAAAAATTAAATAGAAGAGAAAAACAGGAATAAAATATAAAAAAAAAAGAAAAAGAAAGAGTGAATATTGGTTAGTTGTTTGGTGAATGAATGAATGGTGATGGCACTGTGAATTGTAATGTCTTTGTTATTATTATGATTGTTACCCTATTCCCTTTCAATATTATTATTCACAATATACAATTTTTTTTTTTTTTCAACAATAACAACATTCAAAAAAAAAAAAAAAATTATAACAATACTGCGATGATGATGAAAAGAATCATCCATTCTTTTGTGCATTGAAAAAACAAAAAGAAAAATAAAAAAATTTTTTTATTTTTTGAATCTTCTTTGGGTGTTGGAATTTTTCTATCAAATTCTTTTGTTGTCATTTAGAGGTTGGTTGGTTGGAATAAGGAAAAACAAAAAAAATGAAAACAATGATAAAAAGAAAAAATAAAATGCAAAAACAAAAAAAAAATTAGGAAAAAGAGGAAAAATGAAAATGAAAAACTTTTGTTTCATTGTTTGATATTCAACATTTTTTTTTTTTGTTATTTTGACAAAAGTACACATAAATGATTTGTGATAAGTAAATGAAAAATATACTTACATACGTACAAAATATTTATATACATATGTAAATTTTTGTATGTATGAATATGTGTGTGTGTGTGAGTTAGGCGATAATATAAACATTGTATAAAAATTATATACGAAAAAATCACATGTCAATACGAAGATATTTTAAAAAATTTTTTAGATTTTATCTTAAAATTGTGAATGGGGAAATTTTCACTGAAATAATTGATCGGATTCATTAAAAATGTGGGTCTCGACGGGGTGCTCTAGGCAAGAAACTAGGTGTTTGTGGGGTAGGGGGACGCAATAGATTTTTTAGTTGGTGATACATCATCGCCCAAATTTGGAATTACAAATCTACTATTGTGAATGACTTTGAAAATCCTAATCAATATAAATTGAAGTTATATATGTCTAAAGAAATCTATGATGATTTTAAAATTGCAATTATACTTAATATTATTGCATATTGCAATAATATTGTACACACAATTTAACAATTATAAGCTGAAATGAATATTAAAAAGTATAATTAATTATTTAATATGTTGAACTATTTTGAAAAACAAATACAATTGAGCCTCCACAATTTGAACTTTTATAAATCGAAAATCTCAACTCAAAATAAAATTCATTTTCCATGAAAGAAGAAAATTTTCATAAATTGAAACATTTTAAGAATTCCCATGCTACTTTGATTTGTAGATAAGGTCCCACTATGCGTCTTTCGTTACAGATCCTTACAAGAATTGGTATAGCTTGCTAGTGATTCAACAGGAATCTATACAAAAGAAGTTCAATTAAAGAATAGCATGATAAAATGTTTATTATATGTATAAATAATTGTATAGTTTATGTTATAGTGAATATAGTGATTTTTATAGCATAGAGGTATTTTCTGTCATAAAGACTAATACTAACATAATTTTAAAATCTCACTAATTGAAATAATAAAATTGTTGACAATATTTTAGGAAATGATACATTGTGATTTTTTTAAATTAGTATATAAAGCAATATTCAAATAATTATATACAG